CAGCTCATAGTAAACAACACTTTTTGGTCCCAACAGATACAGAGCATGATCTTCGAACCATAAATGTTCGGCCGTGGTGAATTGAGGTTGATTGACTGGGCTTAGCGTAGTATTTTTTCTTCTTGAGGTTGTCGTAGAATGTCCACTTCTCATCTCCAGTCACAATCCGATGCAAAAAATTTTTTCTGTTGCCTTTGAATCAGCTGTTCTCAAGTGAAAAATCGCCTTTCAGGTTTCAGTTCATAAGGCACCCAATTTCCTTGTTTTTGAATCATAGCTCTCAATCGTACAGAAACGGCTTGTTGAGTTACCCCCAATGATTCTCCAATGAAGCTCCTCTTGTGTTTGACTCTGATCTTCTTCGAGTAATGCCTCTAATTCTTTGTCTTCGAATTTTTTTGGCTATCCAGAGCGAGGCTTGTCTTCAACGCTGAAATCTCCATCCTTGAAACGTCGAAACCATTCCCTACATGATTTATCAGTTGGAGCAATGTCACCATAAATTTCGACAAGCATTCGATGGCCTTCAGCCGCACTTTTCTTCCAATTAAAACAGAAAATTAAAACCTCCCGCAAATGCTGCTTGGTTAATACAAAATTCGACATTTCAAACACAGTAAAAATCAAGGTGTTTGTATACTCAAAGCGATATAAACTGAATATTATTAGCAGACGTTTAACCTCTCTGAAACCGCCAAAATCAGCTGTCACTATGAATCATTCACAACAACTGGAGCTATCTTTAGGGAACCGGATCGAACTAATTTGTACTTCCAATATAATATTTCAATTCTTTATATTCTTCTTTTCTTTTAGTCTTTTAGTCTCTTAGTCTTATAGTAAAATTTCGAAGTGCGGAAATACATAAATACGAAGCTACAAAGTTTGCAACAGCTTAGAAACTATAACTTATAACAACTGTAACAACCTTCTCAGCAGCGGAATGGAAACAAAGCAAGGAGTGAGGAAAGGAGTAAAAATGGCGGATACATATTTATAGTACCTTAATACAACTGTTCCAATCGCCATTTTACCTGTGATCCAAGTGCTCTCTGTTAATTTGGAGTATGCGACGCGAACAAATCTCTTATAAGTTTTATAGTCCAAGGGTGCAGTCGAGTCGCCGCTATGAATGCTTCGAAGCATTTTTTAATTGATCAATTAGTAAAATTCTTTCTTTCGATTAATTAATCAAATGCTTCGAAACATTCGTGACAACTTGACCACAATCTCCCAAGTCGATCACAGCCTTTATTATATGTGGAGCGTAGTTCCTCCCGCCTCACGACAGGCGGCGTTCCGACTGTGGCGAAACTCCTGTTTCGAAAGCAAATAGACTTTCTCTTCGACTGTGGTCGGAATTCGGAATTGCCATCAACTCATCGGCGAGCGCCATTTACCCTGATTTACTGCGAAGAAGAAGAAGGATCAGCATGGATTCGACGTTTACGTAACATGAAATTGCAAGAGGTGAGAAAATTAGAGGCCTTTAATACACGAAAGAATCTTATAATCAATGAATTTTCAACATCTGCGATTGTATAATTAAAATACTGATTACACATTGAATACAAATCTCTCAAATCATACTCGCCGCAATTTGTAATCCACATGTATTCATGCAATCATTTATTCTAATCCAATGTATATTTTGGCACTAGACTTTAATTTTCATTATTAAACTGGAGTTGTACTTATTATTGACCTCCATCTATTTAAAAAATAAAAAAATACTTGAAAGCTACTACTATATTTAAGACTTACTTTAAAGGATCTGTAATTATGATATTTACGTTGCTAGAAATTGTTCCGAAATCTCAGACGGAGAAAAGGTGACCAATGATTAATTAATAATAAATGGTCGAATTATTCAAATGAGATTTGCTAATTCTTTCTCCGAGACAAAGCTTCTTTCCTATCGAGATTCAAGAAGTCTATAGTTTGATATATTGTGTTTAAATCATTTGACTGCATGTGTATATTTGAGTATTTTTTATACTTATGTATTCTGGAAGTCGAGTGTGTATCTTGAAATGAAGTGAAAATTACAAAAGTGAGCAAATTCACTATTGACCAATTAAATTATGAATATTCTAGTGAATTTGATTTTTTTCTAATTTTTTTTCTAATTTTACCTCATTTCAAGATTCACGATGGATCTGATATCCTTCAAATATTTCTTGTATTCAGAAATCCTTAATATTACTAACATGATGAGTTTAATTGAGTATGAAATCATGATTATATTTGTACATGCACTACCAACTGAAGGAATTTATTTTAATTTTTATTTATCAAAATAGCTTGAATATGTAAATTAATTATGCTAATATTTGTTTTGCAGAATTATGAACAAGATAAATTCTTCATCCTGTTAAATAAATGGTAAGAATCATAAATATATAATCACATATCTTAATGTACATAAATCTAAACAACAGGATGATATGTATATATTTCTAACAGGATAAAATTTTTAATAAAATTTTGTTTTATTATGACTATTTCTACATGCACTACCAACTGAAGTAAATAAAAAAATTCTCTTTTGAAAAATATTACTGTCAGAAACTACTAATTTATGTTCCATTTTTGCAGAATATAAAGGAACAGAGATTAGCTTATGGAGATCTACATAGATAAGAATAATAGTGCAAATCTTATGATGTGATGTAAGTATATACATGTAAACTATACAGCATCAGAGACTAATGAGATTTTCTTAAAAAATTTTTTTATTTATGTTTTAACTTAATCATGGAATTAAAAATTAAAAATAGTTACAAAAATAACATATATCTTATAATTAACGAATCACTTTTATATTTTAAATATGGCAAAAGGAATGGAACAAATGCATTACAGTGCAAGGGAAATATATTCGAAAATTACTTGAAAGATTAAATAAATATTTTATTAAAAATTAAATCTGTCTCATTATTCTCTGATACACTCTTATACACATATAATACTTAATAACATAATATTACTGTGTTACAATCAATATACACATTGTGTTTGTATAATAAATATTAAAGATGTACAGTTTATTTTTTCCTGAACAAACCTTATATGTATATAATAAGAAATAAAATATATTTTTTGTCATATAATTGAAAAAAAAAAAAGAATCGATGCTTATTAAGATATGTATTCTGGAATTGAAAGTCAACAGAAATAAGTTGACTAGTTCATCGAATTGTAGAAGCAAATGAAGCAATAAAACCTCATACTTAGAAAATGCATTTAATATTGCACCAGGTTTCTTTAATATGGAATAAATTCTACTTGTCTAGATAACATTTAATAGGAGGTACATAAAGTAAATTAAAATATGCACTTGTACTACTTTCGGAAAACAGAAGAAGGCACTTTAAGGAATCGATTCTGTAACTCTTAACGACAGTCATTGATATCATTGTGCAGATATAGTAAAAAAATTGTGCAATGACATCAATGACTGTTGTTAAGAATTACATAATCGGTCTCTAAATCTAGTAGGTAAGCGAAGTGAAAATGAATATTCAACACAAGTATCAAAAATTTGAATAATGCAGTGACAATGAAATGCACATGTAAAGGATACGGCACATTTATTATCTCTAATTCTTTCATTCTGTCTTCTTTTGTTCTTTTTTTTTAAGCAATACTTCATAAATTGACAATGTTCATTATGCACGTTAGCATTACAAAACTACGAATAATTGAGATGAACCGGTAAAATATGAAATTCTAAATGATGCGTCGAATTTCTGGGTACGTACTACTTTGTTATAAATAATTTTCACATTATTGTATGCGTTAGAAAAGTCAGTAGACATCTTTTTTTTGACGATAAAATGCGCCATGCGACAAATTCAAGATTACTTGCGCCAATAGTGTGATCAACTGAAATTCACAATATGTCATCAACTGCAACGACTTTTGTTAAAAAAATTATGCTCTTTATTTGGGTCTTTAACGTTATCTTTTCATGGTAATACCACGCGTATTGTTCACAATACATTGCGTAGTGTCAGTATGTGTCAGTAATTGGTTTTCGACTCGATAATGAGATTACGTGGGGACACAAGTCCTCAAAAATAATACAATTCTTGTGATAGAGTTGCGTGTGTCAAGTACATAAAACTATATTAATAATATACTTTAAAAATATCATATATAATATATATATATATATATATATATATCTACCCATATTTACCTACAACATAATTTCCTTCATACGTATATACATACATATGCATATGTTGTGCGTTCTTTAGTATCCAACATATGTATATGTATATCACAAGTATCATAAATCTTCAAGGCACTCCAGATGTATATTACATTCATATTTTACAAGTTGTCCAGCGTTTAATGAACGGGGCATTTTGACGAGACGTAAAACAGGATTATTTTACTCGTTTTAAAAGCGGCATAATAACGTCCTGAATGCATGTTTATACAGCAAACGAAAGAGGCGATGCAGGCGATTAGGAGAATGAAAAGTATCTTTTTTCTTTTTTTTTTTCTTGTATCACTCAAATGTGTAACTATTTTTATAATTTTTTTTCTCTATGTCGATGCCAAGATACTCTTATAAAGCGTTCAATTTTAAAGCGCCTTCATGAGAAGCACATCATTTTTAATGCTGCTTCCCAATTTTCTTTTGTGAAACTAGACATGTATGATTCCATTTTGCGACAAATCGTATATTAAGACCTATTTACAGTAGATGGAAGCGCGTCTCGCCATGGCACGATTTTTACACGCACAGGAAACAAATATATTATTTATATCAAGGAAACGTAACGCAATATTGTACAACGCTTACTAAACAAATAATTTTTGTTTCAATTTTCTTACCCATTGCATCATCATCTTATACAGATAGTTAATTCCAAATCGTTAGAATCGTGACTGCTCTCAATATATATATATATACAATGATAAAACAATCTTGCGAAATGTTATCTTTCACAAGAAAAATTAAGATTTTTTGAAAAATAATATATTTTCTAAGATGTGTGTGTGTGTGTGTGTGTGTGTGTGTGTGTGTGTGTGTGTGTGTGTGTGTGAGAAACGGACGTCTATGAATCGCAAGTGTTTCAAACATTATTTGTTGTACACAATTGTAAGCCACGGCACGTTTTGTTGAAATATTTACATTAAACTTTTTATATAGATAGTCGAAACGCTATTTTCGGTTAGCGCGTCAACGCTTTCATATATATATTTTTTTTATATATGTATATATTAGATTAGAGAAATAAACTGCAGCGTGTCATAATGAAGCAAGACACGCCTTCATCTAGTACAAACGGTCGGTAGACAGTGATGCTAAACAAACACGAATATCATTTGCCAGTTATATTATTAATGCGATCTAATCGTTTCAGTCTATAAGGTCAAAATTTCGAGTAGGCAGATTCTAAATGAATCACGCGCTGTGTTTATCCAAAATAGAGACTGATATACGAAATATTGCCTACGTGTTTGCTGCCTCCATGTCTCATATAACTTTGGCTTCCCGCTTTAGTAACAGCAAGTTTCACAAGCCTTCGTATTCGTACTTAAATACAGTATGTTACAGAGAAATATCTATAAGAATGCATGTACATCACCATCGCTTACCCCTAGCAACATTTAGGATAATGTACACAAACAAGACATGTACAGGTTCATCGACTGGATAATAGTTTTGATACACTGTCGCGCAGGTTTTAAACACCAATCTCAGTCGGTTTTCTGCTGATATAATTCTTTTAACGATTTCAGTTCGTCGATTAGTGTCTGATTTCTATTCTCCAGCACCGCAACACGATTTTCTAAGCACTTTATATATTCTTTCTTCTTTCTTCTACATTCACGTGCCGCTTCTCTGTACACATTAAAAATAGAGATAAGAATATTCTTCGTCATTAAAGGAATTTAATCTTTTCTCATCTTTATATAGGATAAGAAAATTCTATTATATCTGGTAGTTATAGGTAAGTACGGATATAATCTGTACGTGATAGGTCTATTCTTATCACTCACCTGTTCTTAAGCAACCTTAACTCTCTCTTTCGTGCCGCATCCTCCACTACTACTCCGTGACCTGTATAAGCTGTAACATTGCAAGAGACTGCACTCTCCAAATTTTTATGTTACGTGTATCATAATTCTCTATTTTTTACTAGATAGCTTTTTTATTTTATTTGTTAAGAATCATTGTATTTATCAAAAGAACATACAGTCTAGAAAATACATTAAATTGTACTATTAATTTATATGTTATTGTAAATTTAAAAATAGTAGATAATATTAATATATATCGATTCATGCAA